GCAGTCAAATCCTACAGTTTGATCAAGATGTTGTAGAAGGCGACCTGGGGTGGCCACTAGAATATTCATGCGAGAGAGGCGGTCGCTCTCCTCCTTAAGATTTTTACCACCAATAACTAGACCAGCGGAGAAGGTATGGAAACAACCAATGATACGCAGGACATCGAATATTTGCATAGCCTATAGGAGGAGTCCACTGTCAGTTATACGGTCATTGCCGATAGAATCAGGTGATCCGTACAAGTTCGCGAGTAGGAGATATAATCAGAGCTCCCAGGCCATCTTGGGGACCCCACTTATTTCGCAAGAGATTTTCCAGAACAGGGATGAGGAAAGCTAGAGTTTTTCCACTTCCAGTCCTCGCCGCTCCCAAAACGTCCTTGCCTTGCAGAGAGTACGGTAAACTTCTTGCTTGAATGTCTGTCATGCTGATAAAATGGCCTTTCTTAAGACCTGATAATGGGTTTCAGGGATAATATATAGGTAGTTCAACGTTTACAAACCTTTCTTGGTGGCGTCCGAGAGGGGCATGTCTGCAAAGGTGCCAGAAGCGGCATCGACCTCCTAGAGTACATAAAAATGAATTAGGGAGCTCCATGAGATTATGCTTAATTCCTTGTGTTTCCATAACAAGGTAATGCAGTACCTACCAGGGTGGCGATCCTTTTTTCGAGGTCCTCCAGATGCCTCGAGTGCTCATTTCGCCTGATGATCTTTGTTTTTACGAGTTGGGATCTTTTTCGTTTTCTGTTGGAACCTGGCGCGTTAGGCTGAAAACTCGCTACTGGCATAATGGCCAGAGAGGCCGCGGTTAGATCCAATCGCTCACTCAAACTCCGCCCACGTGCACTCATGTGCCGATGTCCCTTGACCACGACCATATCCAGCTGAGAGAAATCATGTCTGAATCAGCCACACCTTTAATTGACAACGAAGAGCTTCATGCCGCAGCTTCAATCTCAGATGTTGAACCACAACAGCCGCTGAGACGAAGGCTGGCTATCAGCTTCTTTCTTTTTGGGTTAATCAATAATGGTAAGTCTATATCCATAAAATGGTTCACATCATTAATGAATATAGTGCTCTATGTAATTATTTTGTCTGCCGCTTTGGATTTGGTGGCCTCGGTACCGAAAGGGGTCGTCTTATTCTGCAATATTTTCCCTTCTTTGGTCAGTGAGTCCCTTTTGAATGATCTCGCACCCTTAAAATTTGGTTCTAGATGGCGAAAGTTGGATGGCCGTATTTATTGAAAGGCAGGATCCGATATTCTAGGCGAATCATAGGCTGTTGTTCTCTTAGTTTCAGTGGCATGATTGTGAGTATTTACTATATGGGAGTGAAAACACAAGTCAGTGATTGATGTCCTCGTTCCATTTATTTCATAGCTAGTTGCTCTCTTCGACTCGTTGGCGATGAAATTGTTGGGGATTTGTTGTGCTTCATTCTCATGTGGTACGCACTAGTCGACTATAGATGACCCTATCTAATGATAACTACCATCTAAGGACTTGGTGAAATCACGTTTCTGCAATTGTTGACTCGATATCACTCACCTGAATTGGTTGGGCATTGTGTCGGGCAAGTAACACATGAAATAGTCAATCATTTGTGACTGAGAACATTTCCAGGTACTTCTCCAGTGGTACAGGGGGTGCCGGGTTGGTCGGTGCTGCCTTGTGGTGGCTTTTACGGCGTATAGGGGTGAAGACTGGGATCTTGATATGTTCTGTAGGCCAAAATTTTTCACCTTCTTGCCCTGCTGTTGACATTTGCTTCGCAGGTCCTTCCCTTCGTTTTACCGCTCGTGTGGTTCTTATTGCTGCCTCTATCCGCATCCAACCTCGACCCGTCTACGGATCCTGCAGGCACATTTCGAACATCTATCTCGAGAGAAGACTATGTGGCAGTACCGACGGATGAAGTGGATGATGGGAACCCCATGTCTCCGGCCCTGGATCCAGAAACGTCGAGGCCGGTCAAGGCATCTCTATCCCTTCGAGATAAATGGTTAATTGTCAAACCTCAACTCGGAAAATATATGGTTCCATTATGTATGCATCCTCCTCTTCCTCACTGTACCTGGCTCCATGCTCACCCTGTTCTCAGTTAGCGTCTATTTGGTCAGTGAAATATTTTTCGAGTAGCGAATCGGAAAGCCTGACGAATAATCATTGAAAAGTTTGAGTACATCATAAATCAGGTACGCACGACGCGGCCCTGGTCTTATCCCCTTCTATACTCATAGACAATTATACGCAGGGAATCTCACCGACACTTCTCTATCCTGTCTCAGACGCTCAGAAATCATTTATCTTTTCCTCCTTAATCAAGACACTTAGGGACTATTATCCGCTTTGGCAGGTAAGAGGTTCTCTGTTGCTATGGACGAGGAAAAGTACGACATTTAGCTGATGACGATGCTTGACATAGCTGGTCTACCAGACCTTCGTCTTCCTCTCTCGTTCGTCTATCTCATTTGGTTTACCGCCTCTCCCGTCTAGACTACTTCCCGCACCGGCAGTCATTCAGGGGATCATCTTGGCCATTCTTGCCCTGGAAGCGTCGCGTCAGCTATTCGGTACTGCGGCTCTCTATCTCGTATTGCTATTGATTTCGGTGGAAGGGATTTGTGGAGGACTGGCCTAGTACGTATCACTGGTGGCCCTTGCACATCCCCATCTCACCCTTTACATTTCTCATTGATGCTTCTTCCGGCTCTAGCGTCAATGTGTATTATCATATTGGAAAAGAAGAACTACTCCCGAAACTTGTCTCGTCGAGAAGAGAAGAGGGCGAAAATATGATGTCGTCGTGGTCGCGAGAGAGACAAAATGAATGGATCGGACAAGCGAAAGAGTTTCGAATTGGATCGATGGGGTTTGCAGACTCGTTCGGAATATTGTTGGCGTCTCTTATAGCGATACCTACGGAGATTGAACTCTGTCGGGCTCAGGTGCAAAGGGGCAAAGGCCTTTGCAAGCAACTGTGACGGCATCGTGGTTCATCGGCAGTGTCTATGGATGTCAGTTGTCGAGTGGGGCTATGTGCGGCAGGGGAGGATGGTTGGAAATTAGGTAAGTTAGTGCCATTTGCCCCAGTTATTGTTCCCGACCGACTTTGCCGACTGATAATAATTGCTAGTGGAGTCAGAAATGAACAAGGAACAACGTGGACTAGCTCCGATACGTACACACTGGGGCTTCGGCAGCAGCGGCGGTTGGTCATGGAATAGCACCCTTCAGCTTCTGAGATGGAGAAGGAACTCGGCAGAGCGAATGAAAAGCTGGTGGTATCACCCAGTGGAGGAGGGGGCGAGGCAGAGGGAAGGCGAGGCGAACAACTCGGCGATTTCCTTGTCCACGGTCCAAGGTACGCTACACCGGATAATCGTTTGGCAGGATTAGATACATTCGATCGCACGGTAATTTAAGATTTGAATGGAGCAGAATACCCATAACAGCCGTTGGCCCATTGAGAATTTCAAAGGCAACAAAAGTCGACCCTCGGAACCTTAAACAGGGTCAGGTGTTATGTGATGGTGAGACAGAAACACGATGATTGTGGGGAATTAGTGGATTCAGTACATGCTGCGTGATAATAAAATAGAGCTCGCATCTCTACCACTCGTCTCCATCTTTCCCCTCCTTTTCCCCATCCCCCTTGTCATGATTCACCTTTAGTGAGTACGGGCATAGTGAACAGGCCGCGGAAATGTTGACAAACGCGTATTAGCTTCA